GGGGGCAGTGGAAATCCAACAATAGCAGAGACGAAAAATCAAAGAAAAGGGAACCTTCACCTGGCAACCCTCAAAAGTGCTAATGGCGAAATTCGGAGATCAGGGCCGAAAATAAAGAAAATAATCTAAATGCAAATAAAACTATTTTCATGTCACAACAATGCCTTAAACAAAGGGAAACAAATGGGGGTGTGGAAAGGATATTTGGGGCACTGAAAAGCATGCAACTGAAAGCAGAGCAAAAATAAACACCAAGAAGCAATGGCACACATTTTGAATACATTTATTTGCACATTTAGAAATGCAAACAGCGGGAAAAGTCTGAAAAGCCCGGCGAGAAACGCCAAAGGAAGGACCCTTTTTCGCAGCCAAGACGGCGAGAAAGGATACTTCCGAGGGACTTCTCCCCCAGTATCCAAGTATCCAGCTGGCAGGGCCAAAGTGAGTGAAATGTGTAACCCTTGCAATGATTTGTTAAATTACAAGCCAAGTTTCACCAGAGGGATTCGGCGCTCCGAGTAATTAGTAAAAACCTTGGCTATGGCAATGAAAAATTGCTGGAAATTGGGCGTGAAAATGGCTTACAACGTGGCTCGAGGGTTCGGGTAATTCCATTCCTTCTTCTGCCCTTTTTTTGGGCGCCGGAAAATTCCCCGAAAGTTACATTAACTTGGCGGAGCTCGCTCCTGGTTTCATTAGCGTTTCGCTCTATCAAGATCATGTTCTCATTTTTTCGCACAGCACTCGCAAGCCATTACTAATGCAGATAATTACACTTTTAATGTGTACCATGCATTCCGCAAAAGGCAAAAGCTCCAAAGGCAAATTAATGAAAGTTATCGACTGAGTATTCGGGCAATCACAGTCTTGCCTCTCTGCGAACGGCAACTTTTTAATGGATCCCAAAATTGAGGCAAAGTTTGAGTCGGCAGTGCCACCAGCTCACCAACTTAATCCGCTCGAAAACTCGGAGCCTGGACAAACATTTCAAGCATCCGAGCCGAAGTCATCGACGTCCTCCTAGAATCTGCTGCTTTCAATAAACAAATTTGTACGCAAATATTTTGGTACACAAATTTCTGCCAGGCTACTAAATATTTTGTGTAAAGTCGTTGAACATTCACAAAGATTGCAATAATGACAGTCGAGGCTCTCTTTAGCCGGAGCCAAGTGGGCGTGGCAGAGGCGGGCGGGATGGAGGACTGGCTTTGGGATTGAGGAACTGAAGGACTTGAGGAGGCGCATCCAGGGCGTAGAATGTGTGTAAACTGGAGCAAGAGGCGGCATACATTACGGAAACGAGGCGCACGAACCTACGGAATGGAGCGGAGTCGAGCTCAGCGGTGCGGTGCGGGGCGGTGCGGTGGGGAGCGGAGCGGGACAGACACACAAAAGTCAACATAAAATTTAATTAAAAACTTTGCAACAACTACAACGATGGGGCGTGCGCCGCCTTCGAAAATGAAACAACATAATGCAGCGCTGGCGGAAAAACGTGAGGAAAACCGGCCCTACGACTTGCCGGCGAATTTTGTATCTCTTCGCTACGGCAATCGAAATTACCAGTCGCAAGTTAAGGTAGTCCAAGTAATGCAGAGAAAACAAATTTAATATAAATGGAAAAAGGAAAAATAAACTTCGTCTAGCCAATATGATAAATATTCTTGTCAAAGTCAACAGTAGAAAATAATGGAAGAAAATCTTGCAGCAAAATATTTATATGTCTTGGAAAGCAAACTTATTTAAGTTTTTGTATAAAAAGAGCTTTAATCATAAAATTTCGCCCAGTGTGATGTGTTTCCTTGATTTCTATGCCAACGAATGAACTATGAACTTGCAGTAGGTTAAATTGCCAAAGAGTATTGAGCGGAGGCTGGCCTGAAAAAATTCTAAGTGAACCTAGAGTAAGCTAGATAAAAAACAGGCCGCGGCCGAAATTTAAATAAATGAAATGGCTGAAAATAGCATTGCCAAGGCAGCAGCTTCTTCACGATTCCGATGCGGAAAAAGGAAAACCAATTACGAATTCAAATGAAATTCATGAAATTCCTGCCACTTTGTGCCGAACTTAAACCACGTCTTTGTAATATATATCACTTTGAAAGCCTTCCGAAAGAAAAAAAAAATAAAAAACAGGAAGAGGGCGCAAAAACTGTGGCATAGTTTCCTACGGCATCCTAGACATTTGGGGGTGTGTGTTGTCCGAATAGGTAGGTATAGGTATGTATATATATCCCCGCCGCTCCCTCAGGACATCGAGACTTCGAGACGTTCTCGAGGCATTTAAATTGCCGGCATGATTTGAAATACAAATTGAGCAAATTGGCAGGAAAAAAGTGTGCAAAGTGCCCTTCGACCGCAATGCCAAGTGAATTGAGGTAGGATGTGGAGGAGGAGGCAGCTGCGTTGCCATCAGAGACACGAAAATTCGTCGGGAAAATTCTCTTAAAGCCCGCCATCTCTGTCCCTGTCGTGTTTAGTGAACGCCTCGAAATTGCTATTGATTTTCCCGATGTTTTATCTTTGCTGCCCGCGGAATATGAGTACCCACAGATATCGCGTTACGCCCCGTCATAATTAAAATGTTAAAAATGTGGTCACGGAATCTTTGGAAGCCCGCTTCCTGGCTTTTAATGGGCGATGTCGTAAATGATATGGCGACCGCATTGAATTTCCAATGAATAGCGACCCGTGCGGTTTTCTTTGGGGTTGGGGTTCGGCTGATTTGGGTGGCGGGTTCTCTCACCTTGACAACGACTTGGGAAGCTCGTTAGCCAGCTTAGCAACAATACGTCTCCAGCAATTGTCGACCCATGGACTTAAGAGACCATCTTCTGGCCGCCTAATCGCATTCAATTAACACACAACACAGGAAAAACCAAAGGGAAAAGCCAAACAACAAGAAAACGCAACTTCTGCCGAAGGCAAGACAATGCTGGAAACGCTCGTAAGTCGGTCGAAAGTGCATGGCGGAGAAGCAAATCCAATAAAGTTGTTATTGCTTTTGTTTCGGCTGGTCGAAAGGCGTTTATAAATTACTTAAAGCGCTTAAGGCCGGCGCAAAAGAAAACCCGTGGAGCAGAATGGGCCAACAACTTGTGGCGTGACCGAGCGAAGCGGTCGAAGCCAATCTGGCAATATGTTCGCCGATTTTCCTATTGCCCCGGCCATTTTGGCTGCTGAGCAGATTAAAGCGTATCGTGTAGCAGCAAATCCAAAACCGCAAGCGGCCAACAAAGGAGAAACTGTGGAAAAGTGGAAGCGGGAGAGCGGGAAAGCAGTGGGAAAGCCTACCAATTGAATATCAATCAACTTTTGGGGCGTGCGTGTGTGCGGCAGCACCAGGCGAAATCCCCAAGAACCAAAAAGGAGCTGAAACAAAGGAGGCACTCGACTGGATGGGGGTGTGGGTGAAGCCAAGTGGCCTTGCCGCCCCTCTCTCGAAATGGAATTAAAACTGGCAATTTCGGGCCAAATTGCTTGATAGGCTGTCTTGTCTTGCAAGTGTTATGGCTGCTGCACAGTGAAAAACGATAATCGGATTATTTGCGCACTTGAAAAGTGCTCTTCGGAGTAGTTTTAAAACGTGTGTTAATGGCTAACAAAAGATAAGAGCATACCTGTTCAATAGAAAAATACCAACAAAAGGTTCCCAAAGCATAGCTTTGAAATTATTACTGATGCTCTGAATAATCCTCTTACTGCAAGTTGACAATTTTGAATATACCTTAGTTTCTATCAAAAAGTATGAAATTGTTTTGGGAACTCTAATTCTGATTATTGTTTTTCCCAGTGCTCCGAATCGCACCCACATCGAAATTGTACAAGCGCGTCTAACCGAATTAGGCAGCACAAATCAATTGCATTAAATGGCAGCTAGCGCGTGTCTTCGCCCCTTTTAGGCTGCCAAACCGAGTGTGGTTGGGACTTTCCCTTTACCACCGCCGCACCACCCCGCCTTTACCAAAATTTTAGCATACGAAATTGGTGTACACGTCTCGTATGCGGAATATTTGCAGGCGTATGCCAGAAACAATTGTGCTGGCCTGAACAGGCAGCCAAATAAATGCCGACGAACAGCTGCAAACGACTTATTTATGCGGCAAAGAATTCCATTCCCATTCCACCGGGTAATCGGGCCTCGTATGATATCCCTATTATGGCCTGCTTCCCGGGATTAAGTCTGCCTGAATCCTAATTTACACAGCTTCTGGGTATTTACCTCTTCCGTGGGCGGAAAACTTTTGCTTAAATGAGAAGTCGAAAGGAATGTTTTTTCGGCGAAGGCTCTCAAGTATTTAAATTTAGCGGATTTTTACGTAGCTCTCTCCTTCCTTGGCTTTCGCACATTGCATGTGTTTATTTCATTTCTCATTTTCACAAACATTTTCCCACCCACACATACACACACACACACACTTACCCAACTTAAGCGCCACATGCCAAGTTCTACTTCATTTCATGTCGGCATTTGCACATTTTTTGTTGTTTTTTTTTCTACCCACTGGTGTTGTGTGTGTGTGTGTTGAAGGAAATTTTGTTATACTTTTTGGTTTCTTGAGGCGGCTCCTACTCCTTCGCCGCGGAAAAGTGCGACTTGGAAGCCACCGCAAAACAATGAAAATTGGTTTTGTTACTTTGCTTACTTTCGCAGACTCTCTTCTTGGCTAAGACCGTTCTGCGGTTGAGCCCTTGGCGGTGGCTTTTTATTGCCCGCCCCGTTATTGTTGCTGTATTTATTTGGCAGCTGGCGGGAATAGAAGGAGCTGGAGTCGGAGCCACAAAGCCACCCATTCGCCCAACCACCCAACCACCCGAAAGCTTCTGCTCTTGATGGCGCTGAGTATTATCGCATAAAATCCAAAATGTAAACACTGGCACAAGTCGCTTTCTTGCAGCACGTACACGTTTATATTCTAAGCGACATTCACGCTGCCAATTTGAATACTTCAGTGCGAACGCCTCCCACAAGAATTCACTAATATGCTGCAAATTATTACCTGGGCCAAAAACACCACTGAAGCTCACGTGATGGGCGATCGTTTCGAGTTTATTATCCTCGGAGCTTGCACTTTATTTCTCGTTAATTTGGTTAGTTTACCCACTCGGGTATTTTTGTTTTTAGTTAGCAGTCCGTCACCTGCTCGCTTTGAGTTAGCACACTGCACAAATAATTATAATCCTGCAGCTGGTGTCCTTTTTGGCTGACACAGCTGATGTCCTGCTGGGGCTTTGGCTTCAGGATTTCTGCTCCTGCTGAATGGCACTAAAGCGAGTCGCGCGCGATTCGTGTCAACTGCGTCGAAGGGTTCACTTTCAACTGAAGCACACAGACGCCGTTCGCCGTCGTTCCTCAGCGCCCAGCACTCGGGTTCGGGTCACCGCTTCGCCAAGCTTCGGCTGAGCTCGGGTTGGCATACGAGGACACCCGAGCGGCAGTGAGAGAGGTCGCTGCTCAGAGAAAGCAGCTGGGGGCTCTCTCCCAGTTCGCCGCAGGACAACTGTGCCACGGCGAATTGGCAACTACCAACTCAAGTTGCGCGACTTGGCTGCTCTAAGTTGGCTTCGTCAATAAAAAATAATTAAGATGTTTGTTTACAAAAATCGTAATCAGGGCGCATTTTAATGGGTCGAGATTGTTTCGATTGTTGTAATATGTTGTTACTTTGACTATAAGTTTTAAGATCATCTTGAGGCTAAGGAAAGACCATCTTATTTAGATAAACTCAAAACCGAAAATAAATATTTTCAAAGTCTTTAAATCATTTTTATGTTTCCGATTATTTTAAAACAAAAATATCTATTTTTGGGATAAAGAGAAATCGTAATAGGTAGTAGTCGATTTGATCCTCGATCGCATTATTGTTTATTGATCCTTCGATAACCTAAACTTGTTATGAAACATTGGGTCTTTCACCTGTCGCTCGGAACTCTTTAAGCGGCTACTCTCTCAAAAACATGCTGATAGAGAGCAATACAAATCTACCCCAACCATTTTTTCGCCTCGAATGCCACTCCGAATTTTTCTCCGAAAATGAAGGGGTGTTTCTCGACTGAGAAAGGTTGCCGCACTGAAAAGGTCTCTGCAACATTCGAAATATCCCCGCAACTTTTCGAGCTGGGAGACAAATTGCGGCGTGTCCTGCTAATTTCGGTGAGTGAAAGTTACGTGGCGGGTTCCCAGGTGGAACGCTGTCACTTTTCACATGAGGAAAAGCTAGAAAATCAAGTTATCGAGGCGTGACCACCGAGAGCAGGCTCGCGTGTAATTAAAACTAAACACCAGGAACAACATCAACATCAACTTTAGCGCCCGGGGGCAAGAAACCACCCACAAGTCATCCGGATAACCGTAAAAAGCGAGTCAGCAGTTTGTCCGGCGGAAAACAAAGGGAAAACCAAACCAACCAGACCAACCGACCGACCGACTGCATGGGCATTACGCTGATGACGAAACCGAATACGGAGGTCCATAAGTCAGGATTAAAAGCGGCGCCGGACACGCAAAATATGGCGACAACAACCTGGTCAAAAGGAACTTCGGCCAACAGCCGGCAAACGCGGCGTCCTGAAATTAATTTGAATATTTTTCAACATTTCACCCCGCCGCGCATTTTGTTGCTTTGTCTCCTGCTTTTATTTCAGTTTTTGTTTCAGTTTCCGCTCTTGGAGCAGCAAGGCTTTTGACTTCATTAGATGTAATGGCGGAATCTGGCTGAAAAGTGAAAAACAGGAATCTGTCCGCCCCTGAACGCTGCCCCCATTCCTCTCCGCCGAGGAACTGTCAGCACAACGCAACGGTTATAAAATTCCAAAATATGCACATAAAGACATAATCCTCCCCCACGAACATTTTCCGGGGGAAAATGGAAATAGAACCAACTGCCGAGTCAACGGTCAACGGGCAACGGTGGGTCAGTCAGTTTCAATTTATTGGGCGCGCTTGAAAATAAATTTGTTTTTCGAAAATGCGAACATCAAGCACAGCATGCCGTTGGCGGTGGGCGGTGGTCGGTGGGCGGTGGGTGGATTTGTGGGTGGTGCGATGTTGGAAAATACAGGTAAGACACGGAGCAATTCTCATGGGTCCACCATGCGGATGAAAAACGATTACGCAATCTGGCCCGTGTCTAGTTGAACAAGTGGAAACAAGTCGGAGCGGCCACCGTGAAATGAGCTGAGTTCATACGCATTGTCTAAATAAAACTTTTGTCCTCCGGGCAAACTTTAAGTTTGCCTATTAAATTAGGAAAACCAACTCCCATGAACTTATTGACTTCTATCACAATCGATTAAATTCGATAGAGACGTTTTAATTACTTAATCTTTTGTTTTCCATTTCTTGTAATTTGTCCTCGGGTCCTAATGAAGTTGCCAATGCTTTTATACTTCATTTATGACGAGTTTCCTTAATTAGTTTGATGGGTAAGCCGATTAAAAACTAATCAGGTTATTTTGCAAATGCTTCATTTCCGGAAAAAGCCTTGGAAACAATGAGAGAAATTCGAGACAATTTCTCCTCAAAATGTACAACAACTAATCAATGATTTTCTGTTATGTTTCAACTGGAATTTTCTCTTGTTATTTGGATATACGAAATATTAATGAAATAGTTATGACATTGCATCTTTTGGTTAATCTATTGAATAGAAGATCGGATGACAATTTATGACGCAGCTGTTGCAGCACCTCCCTTTTTTGCATCCGTGCACTTATGCAACATTCCCCAATTAGTTGCAGGCGACTGATTCGCTTCAGGTTTTGTCAGAAATTCAATATTGAACATTAAGATTGGTCACCTGAGTGCAGAATATATGTACTTTCGAGGGACTGGGTGACGGGGCGCTCAGCTGGCCAAGCGGATTACGATTCGGATTCGATTTACTTTGCCGTCGCCAGGAAGTCACAATGCGGGTGCGTTACAAACAGGCAACAGTTGAGGGCGGTTGCAAAGTGGGAGGTGGAAGGTGGGTGGTGGGAGAAGTGTGAGGAGAAGGGGGTGGATCAACTGCGAGGTACTTGCACTGGCGGACCTACAAACAAACAAACAAATAAACAAGCGGCTGGCAAACAGGCCACGCCGTGATTGCAGGACATTTGCGCAAAAAGGCAAAACAATTGAATTGAATTGACAACAACGGACCACCGGTGGTTGAGTTGGGTGGTTTAATGGGAAGTGTGGGAAGCGGTGGTGCTGCTGCTGGAGGGCCGCTCACTCGACCGGTAATGGTGTTGATAGCATTAAGCATGCCTCGACGAAGTCCAGCCAGGATATGCGTACGGGCAGGATACCGCCAGTGGCCAATCTGTTCCAGGCCCTGAGGTGGCACTCCTGCACTCAGCGAAAAAATGTCGTCGTGATTCTTTAGTTAAAAAGTATGTTAAAAGTAAATATAAAAAAGTAAGGAACAAATTACACAATACAATACACAAGATATTTAATCTTATATTTCTACAAGAAATTTATAAAACCACAGAATTTACCTTATGATCACAATTTCTAGCTAAGCGCACTTCATTGAAATGAAAATCTTTCGGAAGCGAATAAATATTGTTCTCTTTACAGCAGGCTTAGCTTTGTTGCAATAATCTTTTAACTGGTCGGTGTATTATAATTGTTTTTTTTTTTTTTAGTTTCTAAGAGTGGTTTTTCGCAGAGTGTAGCTGTTGTGCCGTGTGTTGTTTTCACTGCACTTCAATGCTTTTTGCAATGTAAACAGCCGCCACAGACGCCGCCCTCGGCCTTCCACCGACACTCGCACATATTTTCACATTTCCCATTTCCCTTTCTTTTTCGTTTTTTCATTTTTCCTTTTTTTTTGCATTGTTTATTTGCTTTACTGTGGTTACTTTTGCTGTTTTTCGGTATTTTTTTCTGCTGTTTTGTTACCCAGCAGCTGGTGTTTGTTGTTGTTTGTGTGCTGGCAAATTAGTTGAATTTGGGAAAGAGCCTGGCGAAAAGGGTGTGTGGAGGCTGTTGAAAGTTTTTGTTTGACACTTTCTGGCATAAGCCTCGACCACATGCGACATGCAACAGCAGGAGCAGCAGCAGGAGCAGCAGCAGGAGCAGCAGGACCAAAAGGAAAAGCAGCAGCAGCATCGACAAGGACACAACGACAGTTCCGTGCTACTCGCACTTAAATGTCCTTCGTTGAGCCTGCTCTTGCTGCACTTAATCCGCTTAAACGTTAAAAGTGCTAATAGTTTTTCATGTTGCAACCCTGACTTCTTTACGGCAATCGGAAAAGTGGGCGGGGCAGGGGAAAACCCACCACCAGCAGCAGCAGCAGAAGCAGGAGCATCAGCAGGAAAAACAACATCGGCTTTTCATAGGGGGTGAAAGGTGTTAAAAGGCAATAATTTATATGCTTAGAATTGTCATCTGTAGATGTTTTGTGTGCAGGACCCGTCTGTCCCCAAATTCATCTGTTTATTTGCTGTGCACTCAGTGCGGTAATTGCTATTTTGTTTTGAGGTTTTCGCCCCTTTAATGGCAAATAATTACACGCTGCTTTTTAACGCTCCGCTGACTGCTACAATGCTTGGCTAATTCGCAGATCAATTAAAGATATTCCCCTTGCAGTCTCATCAATCAAATGTAGATCCAATAAAATCGCATCTGTGCGAAACGCCCACTATTCTCCCTAAAGTCCTTCTCCTCCGCAAACGGCAAACTGGCGGAAATGTCCTGCATCAATTAAAGGCAACGAACCGTTTCGATTGGAATGTTATTGTAATGGCCAGCGGGTCCCCCTTGCTGAATTATTAACAACACCGATTGCAAGCGGAACTATGAATTAATACTTAATAAGGCCTAAGTTTCTCGAAGGAGCCGAGCACATGCAAAAATGCATTAGCATCGATTTATGGCATGTGTTTGTGTGTGGGCGACTCACCGAATCTCATTTCCGCCGGGCGTGGCCACATCATTCCGGCAATATTGCCATACTACACTATTCATATATTAGCACTGGACCAAAAATCAACGACTGACCAGAGTAATGGGAGGGACACATCCCCCTCCGCCTCCCGCGGAGAACGAGGAAGGACGTCGGTCGGATGTCCTGCCGCGCATTGAGCCATGCCAAGCTGCCTTATTATTTATGATAATGTCTGGCCATTCGTTTGGTTTATTGTGCTAATGTGCCGCAATTAAGATTAAGAAGACGACTTTTCCCGGTTTTCCACCACGGCGTACGTGCCTGTGCGCCTATTTGGCTTTTGGGTGGGCGTTCCACCTATGAAAATCCGCTCAAAGACCTTGAACCCAACCACAAAAAGACATTTAAACTAACTTTGATGGTGTA